TTTTATATTTTATTTAAATAATTGACATTTTTTATTCATTTGTAACTTGTAATATTAAGTACATTTATTTATTTAATGACATATAAAAATTATACTATTTTTTTGTATAATTTTATATGCTATTTAAATAATTGACATTTTTTATTCATTTGTAACTTGTAATATTAAGTACATTTATTTATTTAATGACATATAAAAGTTATATAAAAAATTATACCAAAAATTATATAAAAAAATTATCTCTAAATTACTACCCATTTTTTAAATTAAGCATTTAACCTTAAATAAAGAAGTGAGAATATTTCTCTCCCATTTTTAAGCCACATGTTAGCTTAAGTGGGCCATACAATGGCTTTCATGGCACCACACAATTAGAATTGGGAAGTTCCGTCAATATAGTTAACGGCATTGCATAGGGGTAGATGAAAATGAAACAATTTTGAAAGTTAGTATATGGGTTTGAAAGAAAACAAAAATTCTAAACTAAAATGAAAAAAGAGTAATAGTTAATAGATGATTTCTTAAATTAAGCCCAAGTAATAGCTTACATACTTTGGTCCCAGATTGTTTTTTTTCTTCATATGTGTGCACATTTTACGAACCAAACTTTCTTAAATTCTGAATCCAGGTAAGGGATACCCAACACTTCTTTGATTTAGGCCACGTTTGATACGTGGTTTTTTCATAAAATGACTCTAAAAAAGTCCCCTAAAAAAGGCCTGACTTGGTTTAGGAAACCTTTTTTTTAACATAAATTTATCATAATATAATTGATTATAAAAGAATAGTAATATATTATATTCATCAATATATTGTAGCTCAATTTGCATGTTAAAAATTTTTAATTTTTTAAATTAAGTTATTTTTTATGCAACTTTCTTAGATTCTCTATATAAAAAATCTTATACTAACATAAAATTTCAAACTTAAACTCTCAACTAAAATATTATTATTTTTAATTTAATTTTTTTTAGTATTTGAACAGAATTAACTTTTTATAGTTTAGGTTTAATTCAGTTAAAACTACTCACTCAGTTCAAAATTAATTTTTATTTTTTCATTCAAAATTTATCTTAAATTATTTATTGTTAGACAAATTATGTTTTTAATTTAACTTTATTATTATTTTTAACTTTAATTATTTACTTAATCACCAAAATTTTCTATTCATCTTAATTTTTCGTGAAAAGCAATTGTAAGTAAGGATATATCCCAACCAAACCTGTAACGCAGGACCAGTTTCAGGACGGTTTGTACTGCTCCTGATGGGCTGGACCTAAAAGGGAAAGTTGCTCACTCGACCTAATGGCAACCACACGATGAGGTCATCCCTAACGGAAGCTGGCACTTCACTATAAACCCCAATCCAGCTACAATACACCCAAGCTGCCCAGCTCTGCCCATTGTGGAACGTACGCGACCTAGACGTGCCGTTGAGGTTTATAAATACCTCTCAATTCACTACATCCAAAATACATTAAATGCAACTTTCTCTCTTTTATGGCTTTCTTCTTATTTGAGCATGCTGCCAGGACGTACAACTTGAGTATGAGGGTGTTTTTTGAGGTCCACCCTCGAGTCTTAGTAGGCTTTTTTAATCCAACCAAGAAATTAGTTCGAGCAAGAAATTTGTTAATGGTTAAAATTTTATTTTGATTTTTTTTAATAAATTTTTTTTTAATTTTTTTATTTTAAAATTTTGTTTAATTCTTAAAGTTTATTACCTCATCCTTTGTTAATATCTTTGTTATTTTCTTGCATACATAAAATATTAGATGATAGAAATTTTAAAGTAAATAAATTAAAAAGTGACTAAAAAAGTCTTTTAAAAAAGTCTTTTTGGTCTCTCTATTTTAGAATTTCCGTCAACTAAAATGCTATATGTGTAAAAAGATAATAAAGAGATTAAAAGGAGATTGAATAATAAATTTTAGGAACTAATTAAAAATAAGTTTTTTTAAGTATAAAGTCTAAAAATAACTTTTTATTAAAATAAAAAAAACCAAAATAAAGTTTTAACCATTTTGAATTGATTCATGCAGTTTTCATTGATATAAATAAGAACATAAATTATTTATAAATTTTTAATATATTAAAAAAAATTTTAAAATAACATTTATTTTGAGAGGGATATGGTATATTTGATTTGGATTCCGACTTAGCCAAAATAATTAATGTTGCTCTTTTGTTTTAGCCCATGCAAGCAATACTTTTATGGGGTCACACGACCCTTTTGGGTTGTTTTTACATATACATATATGGGGTCCCTAAGGCATGCAGATGCAGGAGGCTGTAAGTTTATTATGATGTAAGCAGAGTAAGATAACGCTAATCTGAATAGTTAGACATGCCCATTGTACTATGTTCCTAACGTCTGTTACCATATTTTTTCTATTAGCTTGCTTGCTATGTATTTGATTTTTGTTGGCAGTCTTGTTGGAGGAATTGTGATATAAGTAAAACATATGTAACTTTGTCATAGGAGCATGAACACGTGGAAGTATCCCCTGCACTAGGAAGTAAAAAAGTTTTGGTTTATGAAAATAGAAAAATTATATCATATATGTACTTGTTTTGTCTATCGACTGACTGGAAAACAGTAGGCCAAATTCGTGGCGGAAGTTTAGGACAGAAATTCTCGGCTGCAGGTAACTCCAAAACCCAAAAAAAAAAAAAAAATTTAAATCATTCGAGATGATTCTGGACCCTTCTGAAAGTTGGTCTTCCAAGGAGAGATCAATCAATCGGTTAAGTTTGAATGAAGAAATTATTACTATGACTTCCAAGTTTCAAGAATCAAAACAACCCTCTTAAATTCTTCTTTTTCTTTTCCTGTACTTTATGAACATGGGACAAGAAGCACAAGGCTTATTTATAATCATATCTGCTTGTGATGATTAAGGTGTTGAACGTTGAACCCTAACAAAAATGGAAAATGAAAAAAAAAAATTAAGAGGAAGAAGGACATGAAAAGTTTAGTTTCGTTTGAGGGCATTTGTGGATTTTGTGTTTTTAATCAACTTTGTTTGAGAGGGTGTTTCCTGATATTTTAGTTTTTTAATTTTTTTTAAATTTTAAAATATATAAAATATTAATTAAAATAAATATTAAATATATTATATATTTTTAAAATATTAAAAAATTATTAAAAAAACTTAAAGTTACAGAATCTAACACTATCAAACAAAGAAAATATATATATAAAAAAAATTTGGAATTGTGGGTTGGCGGGGGATCGAGGTCGGCAGCGAAATTTGGAAATTGGCGTTGCTGTTTTGAAGTCAAAATTGCTCGAAAACGATAGAAAAGTTGATCCAAGAAGAAAAGGCAGATGGCTTTAGTCGTCCTAAAGCAATTTTAAGGTCGAAATGACAAGGTACCATTCTTTAAAAAACGTACACACACAACAGTTGTACTAAAAAGAAACTGTAGTCTTGAGCAAGGATTTAATTACTAAGGTGTGTTGCGAAAGTGGTTAATTTTCATAACTAAAACTCTGAGACTTTTTCACCTTTTGGTTGCGCCGCGCGGAGCTTCCAGAACAGAGACTTCAATCACGGTCCCATCTTTTGAAACTGACATTTCAGTTTAAGAAAGAGAGATCCAACTCTCGTACTCCCGCGTTGGAGCCAGGATAGTTACAACTAATAAGTTTTAGCTTAATTGTGGCTAAGACGTGTATCTCCTGTCCAGTGTGGTCTAAACTCGCTCTGAGCATCACATCAACCTGAGTTTTTTACCAAAAAGTGTTTCATTTTGAAAAAATTGAAAACAAAAGCTCCGCGAATTTCCCACGCCCATTTTCCCTTTATAAACCCTTCACTTGTCCAAACACAAATCAACTTTTAGAATCTTGTTTATGTGTGTCTCCACATTTCTAAATTCTAAACCCATCTTGATATTTCTTTCATCACCATACCCATTTGTGTTTTGTGTTTATAGATATGGCACTGTTGGTAGTAATATCTATTACTTAATTAGTCCCACACAATTGTTCTCAATTATTAGTCAATGTATGTATGGCTGATCCATCAAGTAATGTCCCTTCGGATGACCAACCACCAACTCCACCACTCATATCCATTACTGACCCTCCATGGCCTCCAACAATTGGTGCTGCTACAACTACTACTGTTGCTGACCTTCAGGTGCAGGTGCAGCCACATGATCAGTCTGCGACATCTGCTCTGGACAACCTATCGCCTGGACCCGCTATTTCTCCGGGAAGGTCGCCGAGGTCGCCAGGGACTTCTAGGAGGTATAGGGGCATCCGGAGAAGGAGTGGAAAATGGGTATCTGAGATACGTGAGCCACGTAAAACAAAGCGTATATGGCTCGGTACCTACCCTACTGCTGAAATGGCGGCTGCGGCATATGATGTGGCGGCGATTGCCCTTAAAGGTCATGATTCATCAGTACCGCTGAACTTTCCGGAAATGATGTTTTCATATCCAATACCGATTTCTACCTCCGCCAATGATATTCGGGCAGCAGCAGCCAGTGCCGCGGCGTTGAGACAGCTTAGGCCAGAACACGACACGAGTGTCAGACCGGATCCAGGTAAGCCTGGAGAAGAAGGTAGTTCAAGTATTGGTGGCACTAGGGCAGCTGGACCTGTGGAGGAGCAGCCGTCCAAGAAAGACTTTGTTGATGAGGATGAGCTGCTAAACATGCCAAATTTGCTCGTGGATATGGCCGGAGCAATGATGGTAAGCCCGCCGAGGATAAACTCGCCTCCATCAGATGATTCACCAGGGAATTCGGATGCAGAAACCTTATGGAATTATCCTTGAATTAAACTACTGAGATTGGTAAAAAGTTTTGAGTACAATGTTAAGAAAATCAACCCATGCTTTTTGATCTTTGGCTCCGAGCTAGGGATTTTGGTTTTCTCAAACAAAGGAAAAAAAAAGGAATTTGGTTTGATTCTGTTTTTGCCTTGTGTGAGAGTTGTACTCCAATGATTAAGAAATTTTGGAGAAATTAATTTGGATGATTGAATGAGTTATTGTTGTTGATAGAGTGTAAAACTGTAAATTGATATGTTTTCATTTTTGTGTTAAGTTTTGCCTGTCTTCATTAAAGGGGCATTGAATTTCCATTTCTCATGAGACTACTGGCATAAACTGATAGGGTAGAGATAAACAGATGCATATTGAAGGTTGGGTGTTGAAGTTGGACGCAAAACCCTAACAAAAATGTAAAGGTGAGAAAAAAGATTAGAAGAACGAAGAAAAAGTGTGAAAACATCTAATAACTGGAATTGTGGGTAGGCGGGGGATTGTGGTCGGCAGTGAAATTTGATTTGCTGCCTTCAAGTCAACATTGCTTGGAAAGTGAAAGAAAAGTTGAACCAAGCGTAAAAAGCAGATGCTTGGTCGTCCAGGGACAATTTAAGGTCGAAATGATAGGGTACTAACAAATTTTGATGGCCGACAAAGTCATAATGTCACGATTTTTAATTAACAAATAATAGTTTGTACTCTTTTTCGAAAAAACACTCGAACTCAAAATAACTTAAGGCAAAAAAGAAAAGAAAAAAAAAAACTCTTTTTAGTGTTACCGTGAATTAAAATTTATAATTATTAGAGTTTAATGTTTTATAATTTCAATATTAGTAAATTATAAAAACAAAATTTAAAATGAACTTATCTCTTATCCCCTCTTTCATTGGTTACGTCTACAATTTAATAGTGTTTATACTAGTCAATAAACTAAATAATTCAGTGGTTATCTCTTTTCATTAAAAGTATTAGGTCTTAAATTCCAGTCGCATGACATCCGGATATGATAAAATAAGATATGGGAGATAATTACCTCTTATTGTGCAGTTAAAATAAAAATAATAATATATATACTATTAAACACTTTTTGGTTATTATAATGATAAATTTAATATTTGATTAATTATTCTCTTTAACCTTGAACATCATAAGTGATTAAAAATTTAAAATTTCAATTTATAAATTTTGAATTCAAACTTTATAATGGAAAAAAATAATTAAAGAAATAGAAAGATTATCTTTTATTGTATAATTTATTATATGATATATATAAATAACACTAATGCTGCTCTTAAGATTGTTGTGGGTGACAACACATTTGGGGGCTGAAATTATTATTACCATTAATTTTGGTAATGCCATCAATATTAATTGTAATTTTATGAATTTATAATTTTTTTAAAATAGATAGTTATGATATTTAAAAATATCTATTTATAAATTAATTTTAATTTATTAAATAATAAATATAAATTATTTTATTAGTTATAAATTATTTTTAACAATTAAATTAAAATAAAAATTTAACAATTTTAATAATTTTAACAAAATTAATCAATGCCATAACCATAGCCACATTTGAGTTGATGAAAATAAGGAAAAATGAATAATAAGTATTTTAGTCTCTCTCATTGTTCTTTTACTTTCGTTTCCCCTGATTTCTCTTAACCCAGGCGCATGGTACGAGAATGTTAATTATCCCTCTTCCCATCCAACTATTTGTCTTTACTCTTTTCATTCAAGTTTAATTGTTTTATTTTTTATAATATTATAATTATAATATTATATCAAATTATAAATTTATAATTATAATATATTATTAAAGAAATAAATTTATATAATATCACAAATAAAGTTTTGAATACTTTTGAATAAAATGAATAAACTATCACTTTATCATTTTTGTATTTTTTTTAATAAAATAAAGATATACTAATTACTATAATTGATAAATTTTCATATTTAATCTTAACTACTACATCTAAATAAACATATATATTTCAATATGATTGTTATTGTCAGATATATAAAATACGAACCTTTTTCTTTTTCTATATTTTTCTAGAATAAGAACTTTGAATAAAAATAAGAGCTTTAAATGCCCTCTTAAGAATAAAAAATAAACATTTAATTTTGAACTTTTGATTAAAAGATATAGAAGTTAAACTAGAATGAAGAGAGTAATAAGAAAAACTATTTGTTTTTCCTTTTTTTATTTGCCAAACATGAAGAAAATTACAATTATTGCGAGACGGATAGATAACTAATTTGCAATTTTGTACCCGTGAGGAAAGCGGTGAGTAATTTGCAGTTTCGTAGGCGTAAGAAAGCGGAATACTATGCATTTGATTTCAGAATCTATTTGTTATCTTCATTGATGCTGTTTTCTTGACTATGGGCCCGGGAAAGCAGAAAATGCAGGGAAAAGGGGTTTTTTTTTTTTATTAGAACAAATGGTTCGGAAAGAGATCGAATTTTTGTTCGTAAGGAAAAAAATTTACATTAAACTGTTGAATCATTAGGTGGATTGGTTTTATTTAAGAAAATAAAAGTTGTTATTATCAAATTTTATATAATTAATATTATTTTTTTATGTAACTTATTATTATATTTTTACATTACATTTATTTTAAAAAAATTTTATTTTCTTGTTTTTTAAATAAATTTAAAAAATATAATAATTAATAAAAATAAAAATATATAACATAAATAATTTAAAATATAACAATAATATCAAAGTGTGCAACAGGCTAAATTCTCTGACAGAGTTGTCGACTTATCTTACTCAATACATTAATTATATGTTTCAAACCTCAGGTTTCACCTCCTCAGAAAATTTTACCTCTGGGCTTAGTGGGCCATATGAAATTCTTTAATGCTAAAATGAATTAGATAGGTGGACCAAACTATTATTGCTGAATGGGGTATTATTGCTGAATGGGGTAAAACTTTCATATTTTGGGCCCATTTGATTTATGGGTCACTTTAAAAAAAAAAATGATTTTATCAGAAAAGTTATTAAAAAAGAGTTGCATATAAAGTATGAGTACTTTATTTTATAATTAAATACAATTTGAATTATATTATATTATGAAATAATAGTGTTATTGAATAAGAGGCAACTTCTAATATTAGTGGTCTATACCAATCTAATGATAAGGGTTATGTAATCTAACTTATAAAAAAATAAAAATTTATATTATATGAAAGGTGAATAACTTCTGTAAGTTATAGTAAAAGTTACAACAAAGTTTTGTTAAACTTGTTAACCTTTCTACGCATCATTAAAATATGACATTAGAAAATTAAAAAAGTTTTCAAATGATTCCCATATCAAAAAAGTTGAGTAAAATTTAAAATATATATATTTATGGAAAGAAAATTTTGCTAATTAAGAATTGTATTTAAGTGACTCATTGGATTTATTAATAAATAAGTATTATCTAGTATTAAATTCAACGTTTTAATTTTGGGACCTAAAGAAATTTAATTTGTTTAAATGCATTATGTTGACATTAAGAGTACACTCTTAAAATTATCCAAAGAAAGATTAATCTCCGAATACACATAACTTAAGTCGGGACACTCTAACTATCTAAAAAATAAAAGGAATTGTACTTGAGCCTCCCACTCCTTATCCCATGCTTTTGATTGGCGTCAATTTTTTTTTTTTTACATAAAAAATTAGTTATGTGATATTACAAGGATTTGAAATCATAAATTAATGTTTTAAATTTTTTTTTTTTAGTATTTAAGGTTTTTAAGTTAGTTTACGCCAATGTTTTTAATTCAATTTAGCTTGACATCAATGATTATTGATTGAAGTAATAACAATTAACACAATTTTGTAACACATGCAACTTTTCTTTTTCTTAACCAATGGATGACTTGAATTACAGTCAAATGTAACTGTTCCAACATCCCCACAATTCACTTTATTTCTAAATAAAAAGGCTTTAGTAAAGCCATTTTTTAAGGCTTTGGTAAAAATAACAAAATCCACTAAAAACATATACCCTTTGCCCTAAAAACTAACATTAGTTGTTTTTAGAAGCTTATAAGGTCTCCGGTTTTTTGGAAAAGTTGAGGAGGTATCATGTATAACATTCAGGTTTTTGAGTCCTGCCTCTCGTAAATTTATATTTACCATAGGGTGTTTGAAAACATTCAGGTATAAGCTAATTTCAAATTGATATAAGTTATCTTATCAATTATTAAGTAAACCAAATAAACTTATGATATACAGCGTAATTATTTTTTCTTTAAATTAAATATTTAAGAATAATTGATATATTTATTTATATTTTTTTTAAAAAATTAAAAAATTAAATT